GTTTTGACACATCGAAAAAGTAAGGACCAAATACAACTTCCAAAATAATGTATCCTATGGGCTAGGCTAGGAGAAAATGATCTTCTGACATCAGGGCCCTCTTCAAAGGACTTTCCTACAGATCTTACTAACCAGATGAATTCATAAAAGAAAAAGCAGCCTCTCAGAGAGGCTTCTTCTGAGAGGGAGCATTTAGGGCTCTAAAGGCTAGTAATAATTTCTCCAATGGTATCATGTAAAGAATTAACAACCAGTACAGATGTCATGAGATCCCTGTGTCCTATACCACTTAGCAACTCGCTGCTGCATTTAATTTGGAATCAAATTCAATTTACAGATACAAGTGCAACCTGTGCAATTCCATTTACAGTACACTGTAATACTGTAGTCTGGACAGGATGGAATCAGGATGCAACCTGCTAGAAATAGATTTTGCTGAACCTCAGCAAAACAAAGGAGATGGTGTTAGACTTCTGGAAGAAGAGAGAGGAACCCGTCCCACTTTACATCGAGGGGAGCTGTGTGGAGAGAGTTTCCTCCTTTAAATTCCTGGGAGTCTACCTCAGCAAAGATCTTACGTGGAAAATCAACACAACCCAGAAAGGCCCAACAGAGACTCCATTTCCTTAGGGTCTTGTGAAAGAATACCACAGTGTGGTATGCTGGCTTGACAGCAGCGGATAGAAAGACATTACAGAGGGTGGTGAGCACAGTACAAAACATCGTGGGCTTTTCCCTGATACCACTAGATGACATCACTAGGACTCAATGCCTTAGAAGAGTGAGGAAAATTCTCAGGTACGACTCAAATCCCAGTCAGCACTTCTTCCCTCTCCTACCATCAGGGAGGAGATATAGAAGCATAGCCAGCTGCACCAACAGGCTGAAAAACAGTTTCTACCTGTGGGCTGTCAGACTTCTGAACAGAAAATAACTTCATGTCAACATAGTTTGATAGACTTGCAGGGCCGGCGCATTGTGCAACAAGGTCACATAATGTAATAAGATTGGAACTGGGTTAGGGACTCCTCACTGTGAGTTGTGTTGGGGGGGGGTGCACAAAAGGAGGCTCAGCCAATCTCATTGTACACATGTTGTACTCTGACAATAAAGGTAATAATAATACAAGTTAACAGGTAACTGTTATCAGACCTGAACAATGGCCACAGATGGAGCTTCAGCTAGAAAGGGGCTCTATGATGCAGCCGCTATCTGTGAAATTAGTGGCAGTAGAGAATAGAGAAAAGCTGCCAAACTGTGTCAATTTTTTTCAAAGGGCAGAATGATCCTATCTAAAAAAGGCTCAAATTCAATCAATGTCCAGTTTTCTATGGTATCAATAGCATCTCTCCCTTATTTGGGTTTAATTTCAACTTGTTCTTCTCATTCAACATGGTTTTTTTAAAATATTGTTTCAAGAGAACATCGGTGTGGAAGATAAGTTGTTCCTTTGCTGCAGAAGAGTCTTACTGGGGAGAGCAGCAATATCAATAATTGCTTAACTGTATTCTTTATTTTGCAAATAGGATGCTTGCAACAAGGAACATCCTGTTTTTTAATTGTCACTGATATATGAGGCCCACTGGTTGTAATGGTATGTGGAAATAATCTTGGACGGCAGGAGTTAGCTCCACAGTCCAAACCATTATGCAAAAGATACCTCAGCCTACGGAAGAAAAATGGGTATGGAACGCATCTCAGAAGGGATCCTCTGTAGTTTTCCAGAAAGACTTCCAAGATTTTATTCTGTAATCTTACAATAAAAATAGTGTGTTAGTATTCCTAATTTGTGCTTCTTGTCTGGACTATCTGAAAGGGCTGACACTGGTCTACTTTTATCCAATAATTTCCCTACAAACTGCTCCATTTTGTACTTTACTAATACGATGCTCTGAATTCCTTGGCAAAAGATGAAAAGTAATGAGTGAATAATTAAAGGGTCCACAATCTCTGCCTGCAGCCATCATCTTAGAAGAAAGGGGTGGCAACATTATTAATTTGTTTCAGGAAAAGGATTAGGAAACCTTTGTAATTCTTATGGGCTGTTTAATTTGCATCTTTAATAAGCTCAGATGAGCAGCTCTGGTAATAAAAGTTTACCCTTGGATTGCTAGTTAAAGATGATCATAAGAGACAATCTTTATATTAGATAACTCATTAGAGAGAAAAGGTCAGAGAAATGGGTATCAAATATGAAGTTTAAATAAGCTAGGTAATGCTGTACTGAAATGAACAGATTATGTTTTCCTATTATAGGGACTGTCTCATAAGTAAGGGATGTTTTCCTTACAAAGTGCCAGGTTGGAAAAGAATGAAAGGACAAAGCTATATTTTATTTGGATGTGAGTATCAAGGAAAGGTAAATAGGAATGGGCAAAATACATGCAAAATAGTAAAATAAACACAAGTTTCTTTTTCTGCTCAAGAGTCATGAAATCCCAATTTTTTTCTTTAACCTTATTCAGTTTCCTATATAGCCAGAGATAAAGAAATGTGCCTTATTGTACAGAGAAATTTTAATGATAATTATGAAAAAGGTGGTTATGTTAAAAAGAAAAATAAAGTGGTTTAATGGCAATGCAGGCATTATTTTACTTATATTCTCTCTTGCTATGAATGCAAAGGAAGTTAAGAGTAGCTGTAAATTTGAAATGGATCCATGCATGTTGTTAAAGAAACTTCCAAGCTCCTTCAGAAGTCTTGCATGATTGCCCAAGACAGATGAATGGAAAGGAGTTCTCCTTGAAATGAACTATTGAATATGGAAGTATTACCAGTCAAACTCTTTGCCAGGCATAGACAGCTTTGGCTAAGATACATATTTGGCCTTGGAGTGGCATACTAGGAAGTTCATTGCAAAAGTAGTTAAAACTGACCAGTTTTGATTTGATTTGTATTTGAATATTAAATATAACTCTTCATGTATTTAATTATCCCTTCTGTCACATCAGCAATCACAATCACAACACCCTTTTGAAGGCACTATAGGCTACAAGTGAGTGTTGAGACTTGGGGCCTAAAATTATGCACTTGTGTATGAACAACCCAGTTGCTGTGAAGAGAACTTTCTGAGTTATGATTGTGGAGACTGTGTATTATTCAAACTCTGCACTAAACACAGACCATACCCACTGGTATTATCCATTGGTTGGGTGGCCAATAAATTTAATAAAATCAGAACTGAGGGAACCACAAACTAGATAAAGTAATAAAAATGAAGACGCTAAAATGCTCTGGGACTTTAGAATACAAACAGTAAAGCACATACCACACAATACCCCAGACTTGAGAAGCATGTGCCACACAACATCCTAGACGTAACAACTGTCGAGAAGAAAGACAAAAAAGTCTCGATAATGGACAGCAGAAGAGAAGAGAAAAAACTGGTGAAAATCACAAAACACAAACACCTGCAAACAGAAGAATGACTGTGGTAAAAGAAAGCAAAAATAGCGCTAGGCTTCCTTTTGGTGAAATCCCCAAACATCTGGAGTTCCATTTGAACACCGTCAACATTCATAAAAGTCACAATTGATCAACTGCAAAAGGCAGCTTTACTTGGAACAGCTCATATCCTGTGACAATACCTTTAATATTATCAAACAACATCTCCCTATCTCAGATCCTTGGGAAGGACACGATAGGTGGATAAAGTAGCCAAATCCAATTTAAATATCTGGCTGACTGTATGACCAACCATTAACTAACTGATACATAATACTTAAGCATCGGTACAGGAAATGTGGTGAATATTTGTGAGTCTGGTTTACATCTAAAAGGCAAGGCCCCAAAGAAGTACATTACGAGGCATTATACCTCTGAAAGATCTATGAATGTCTAAAAGTCTTGATGTCTTACAGTATTGTTCACACTGCAGTTTAATGCGGGGGGGGGGGTGTAGTTTTCAATGCAATAGAATGTGGGAAAGAAACTATTTAACATGACTCAGGATTCTGAGCATCTGTCTGTCCAGCAAGATAATTCTCCCCCCAAAATGCAACAAATGGAGTAATTGAGAAAGTAAAATTAATGAGATGGGTGGGACAGACTTGAACATGGGCCAAAGGCTACGGAGAAGAAAATTCCAAAAGAAATTTCCTAATGCAACAGAATTATTAGTTAGACTGGAATTCTATTCTAGGCCTCCTCCTATGTTACTCAGAGTGGAGCATGTTCAGCCCGTCCTGCGTTTCCCAATGACATGTACATACAAACACACAACATGAGGGGAGAACATGAACAGACACACCTGCAGCTCATTACTTTGTTATGCAGAAGAAAATTCAGATGCCTCCTGTGCCTGCTCATGCGGTAAGAATATGAAAAATAAATAAATCCGGAAGCCATTTTCTTCATGCTTTCTTTACCTTACTGTATTACTCTCTTTTGCCAAGAACAGGCTAAAATTTTCCATGTTTGGATTCATATTAGAATTCAAATGGTGGAAATACAAGAAAACTACTCTAATAAATCTTTTTCCTACTAAGCCTGCTAAAAGGCTTGAGGCATAAAGTAGCATCTCCCTTTGTTCACAGCTCTGCATTGAGGTCTTTTCATGAAGTGTGGGATACAGAAGCTAGTTTTTTAAAAAAATACAATCATATTATAATATGCTAGTTTAAAAAAAAAATACAATCATATAATCAACTCCACATTTAACAGAAAAATTGTGCAGGTAGTCCTTGCTTAGCAACTAGTTGCTTAACGACTGTTCAAGGTTACAACTGATCTTCCCAGAGCTAATTATGACCGATTTTGAAGTTCTGATAGCCATATCCACCCCCTACGGTTGCATGATCACATTTTGGATGTTGACAACCAGTTTCTATTTAGAGCTGTTTGCAGTGCCACAGTCACGTGAGTCATGATTTTTGGTGTTTGCAGTTTCCAGCATTTACTTCAATTACAGTCATAAGTTGTGAACGAACTGTAAAATTGAAATTACTTGAAAACCGAGGACTTTAAATGGTTTCCATACATCTATAAACAAAGTAACTTACAACTTTTGAGTTTCAGGCCACAGTGTATTCTGCAAGAGATGATCTTCTGTGGGAGGTTCTGAAAGAAATAATTTAATTCAGTATTGGTGTCCTTATCCTGAACTGGTCAAATTGTCAGCTGTTTGAAGAACCAGCTTTGCTCCAGAATTAGGTACTGAATTTAACATATTGCATACCTGAAAGATTACATGGCTGAAAGTAATTTTCACGGTACTGTCTGGAAGAATTACTGAGATTTTCTTCTTCAGTTGTTTGAGCTGTTGTATCTGCAGCTGCAAACGTACAAATGTTATTGCTTTAAAAGTCACCAAGTATGAAATCTGCAAAAAGACGGCATCCGTTACCGAGCACTAAACAGAAAGAAACAGCTCCAGCTTCAAGATAAAAAGAATCAAAAGTCAAGTTAAGCCATAATATAAACAGCATGAGAAGGAAAATCAGAAGATATTACACCGCATGTTAAAATAATTGGGCCTCATGATGCAAACCATGACAGGAGCTGGAATAAGTTAAACTCTCATAACAGGATGAAAGAAAGAAGCTGGTATAACAATGCATTCAGATTTCCTTACACTCTTAAAAAGGATCATGATGGAGAAAGTGCAGTATGAAAAGATAAGATGAATTAGAACCATTCATTCATTAATGATGTATTCTTCAAACTGCTGGACTAGGAACAGGGACAGCAAAGTTCTAGTCTACTCTCAATCAAATATAATGAACCAAAAGAAAAAAGTGGCAAGATAAAACATTTGTGGAAGAGGAATTCCAGTCATCCAGAATTACAATAATCAACTATGCAATTGTATTTACTCTTCAATGGCTATGTACAAGCTTACATTACAAGGCAGTAATTCTCTATCTTACAGGGTTAGGCAGGGGTTTGAATTCAATTCCAAAAAGGTGCTTTGGGGCTCGGACATAGAACCTCTTTTCTCATGACAGTGTGGCTCCTGTGATGGACTGCCATTCAATTCTTGGAAAAGACAGGGCTGCTTTAAAGAGCTACATTATGCTAGGTACTATGCCATGCTCCCAAATGTTCCAAAGCACCTTTTGGAACTGAATTAAATCTCAATGTCCAAAAATATAATCCACAGAACTCAAAAGGAATTTTCAAAAATGTGGCATCGGACTGAGAGGAATCCAGATTTTAGTTTTCCATCATCTGCAGAAGTTTACTAGGTGATGCTGGGTTATTCACTTTTTCTAAGTATACCCTACCATATAAGACTGTTGTTGGGTGGAATAATAGATCTTATACTTAGATATAAGTACATACCAAATAAAAATACAAATTGCTGTATCATTTCTGCATATGTAAAGCTGAATGAAAAATACAGATGCACATATTAGTACATATTATTGCAGCACTTTGGATTCAAAGATGAAAATGTCTTTGGAGCGGATAGGGCATGCTCACATTGCAGCTCTCTTCTACCCCTTAAAATAGCTATATTTTTACAGGATCACCGAGGTACCCTCCTCTAATGCAAGCTGATCGAGGAAAAGATTTCATTTAAAAGAAGTGTAGATGACTTCCATGTGAGCATCTCTAAAGTAAGTCCAAAGGACAGCTTGCCCTTACATGTCAAAAAAACAATGCAACTATTGTGCTCATGTAAATACTATTGCTTCGTTATCCTGTACAGTGGATGTTAGTTAGTGGAACATAGTGGGCTCATAATCATAATCAATCAGCAGGCTTACATTTGTGCTGACCCAGCAGTTTAACCATGAGTAAATAGATGGGTACCATTTCAGTGGGCAACTTAATGGGGACACGAAAGTAGTCCCCAAGTGAGCATCCCCTGGACAATGATGATGCCACCGTCTAATTCCTTCAACCCGGAAGTGCTTTGGGACTCCCGACCCAACTGTAGTAGTACTACCGTGTTTCTCCAACAATACGGCCTCCACCAATAGGAAGACCCAGCATGTTTTCTAGGCATAAAATCAAATTAAGCCCCTCCCCCCAAATTTAGGCCTAGTTTAAAACATGCAAAATAGGGGGAAGGGTGGGGGGACTTGTCATTTGGAGCGCCGTTGGAGCTGCCACCGCTGTTTGGAGTGCCGCCATCACGTTTGGAGCTGCCGCTTCCGTGTTTGGAGCTGCCGCCGTGTTTGGAGTGGCGGTGGTGCTCCAAACAGCGGCAGTGCTCCAAACGCGGAAGCGGCAGCTTCAAACGGCGGCGGCGGCTCCAAACGGCAGAGGCAGCTCCAAACGGCAGAGGCAGCTCCAAACGGCAGAGGCAGCTCCAACGGCACTCCAAACGGCGGCAGCGGCTCCAAACGGCAGAGGTAGCTCCAAACGGCGGCAGCAGCTCCAATGGCACTCCAAACGGCAGCGGAATGGGCAGAAGGGAAAGCAACAGCGGCAGGTGCCAAAGGTCTTGGGTCTGCAGCAAAGGTGTTTGGTGGGAGTAGGGAGCTCTCTGCACTTCGCCATGATCGCCCGTTAGGAGCGGCTGGTGGCGAGGCTGCCCGCGGGGCGCTCTAGATGAGGATGAAAGGGGGGAAATTAAGTTACCCCTGAAAAGACGGCCTAGCCGTTTTTTCGGGGCTCAAAAAAAAAATAAGGCCCGGCCTTATTATGTGAGAAACACGGTATCCTGTACAGTAAAATGTCGATGAATCCCAGGATGGATTACAATGGCATGTCCCTATGCCAAAAACATAAACTTGGTTCTCAACAGGAGAGTATAGACAGGGACTTCCGGTTTGAGCTTCTTCAGTGACGGACTGAAATCTGCAATCGTGCGTGGTCGTTCCGGAGCGCCCCGAGCCAGCTGGATTCGGGACTAAGCCATCCCGTAGAGGTGGTGAAGAGGGGGGAGTCCGCCAGCAGGGTCGAGGAGAGCTGCAACTCTACTCCTCAGCTGGCCATTACTCCCTTTCCCGAAGGCGGTTGCAGCGGTGGTCAGAAATGGCCTTCTCAAAGAAGAACTCGACCAGAAAAGAATGTGCAGGAGGAAGAAGAGAAAGTTTTGGTTGACTGGGTTAAACTGAAAAAGCAACAACATAAGGTACCCTGGAATTTGAACTATAAAAAATAACATTGTTCCCAAAGAAGACTTTGAAGCAACAAAGGAGAGAGGGAAGGGAAAGGATTTGGCTTTTTTTTTTCTTCCCTTCCTTATGCTGACAGCTAAGAGATTTAAGTAAGAAATTGACAAAAATCCACTTTGACATCAATAGGCATTTAAGCTGAAAATAAAATGTCAGAGGGATAATAAAGACTTTTGGATACTCAAAAACCTTTAAAAGCAGGAAAGGAGAGAAAAGGAAAGAATAAAAGGGTGGGATCTGGAAAAATGAAGGAGACTGCCTGGAACTAAAAGGAACTTACAGTGAAACCTTAACAAGATTCCTAAAGGATATGTTCTAACTGAAACTTTGTAACAAAATAATAGAACCACAGGAAGAGAAAGTGGAAAAAAGAAGCAAGAAGAAACAGCTTTGGATTATTTGGTGATTTTTGGATTTTTGGCTATTGGATTTAAATGACTAAAATCAATCAGGTGGTTGTTTAAAAGTGTTTAAAATGGCATCACTTTTAGAAGAACTGAAAATGGAACTTAAAAAACAGAAAGAAGATGCACAAGAAGGAAGAGGTTCTTTTGGCTTTGTATTTCAATTTTTAGAAATTTTGAGAAACAACAAGAAATGCTTGTAGAACAAGAAGGTTGGGACAAAGAAGAAGCCATCTTTAATGATCAAGTAATTTTATGTGGGGAAAAAAAAGGAAACGGGGAAAAGAGAGTGAAAAGTTTAAGATTTGAAAAAACAACCAAAAAAAAAGAATAGCTTGAAAAATAATTACAATATTAGGAAGCAACAGAAGAGAGGATCACAGAAGAGGGAATTAGAAGTAGAGAGACAAGGGGACAAAAAGGGGAGGGAGAAGAAGAGGGGAAAGAAGGAAAGGAAAAAAAGTTATAAAAGACAGAAACAAGATATAGAGAAACAGGGAAAATATATAAGGATTGAAAGTATAAGCCTATTTGAGATAATGGGTGAAAATTTAATTGAAAAAGGGATTCTGCAAAGGTACATAAGATAGTATTGTTATATTAGAAATAGAAATAATTTTAGAAAATATGAAACAATGTATGATTAAAATGATGGATAAAATACTTATTGTAATGCAGTGGAATGTTTGTTAATAAATAAATGAAATAAAGTGAATGAGAATGAAATTAGGAAAGGATGGGAACATTTTAATTATTATTAATGATTTATAAAAATATAACTGAAGAGAAATATGGGGAAAAAAAGAATTATGGAGAGTTTATAAGTGTTCACAAGGAAGTATGATATTCAATTGAAAATAAATGTTAAAGATGTTAAGATTCTAACTAATATTAATGATAGAATTGAACTGGAATGGAATGAGTGTTTTATTTACTATTGTTATATATATATATATATATATATATATATATATATATATATATATATATATATATATATATATATATATATATATTAAGAACATAGTGTGTATTTTAAGAATGTACCAAGCAGAATTCGATTGGAAGTTATGTACTATATTGAATGTTATAATTTTAAAGGCATAAATTGAAGTTTAAATAAGAGTTGAATGGATAAAATTAAAAGATATAAAGGTGTCATACTCCAATTAGTAACTACAGGGGAAAATTTGTTTAATGAGAAAAGACAATATGAAATTGAAACAGGACAGACAAAAGTATAAATATAATGATTGGAAAGACATTGAAACTTAGAAAAAGATATATAATTGAATTTAGATTTGAGATAATTAAAAATAAAGTTGAAAAAACCAAGGGAGGGGAAAATTATGGAGAAAATGTTAAAATAGTAATAAGATATGGAATAGAACACAAAGATGAATATGAAATTGAGTTTGTGTCTGTATGAAGAAGTGATAACCTGGGATCATGCTATTCTCAAAGAAAGATTTTTTATTTGTATTATGTATTTGTGAAAACCCAAATAAAATTTATATTTAAAAAAAGAATAGTACAGACAGGATGTTTAGCTGATGCGCATTTGATGCCCCCAATATACTCTTTTCTGGGGGGGAAAATTTACACTTTGAGGAAATTGTTATGTTAATCATGCTTTCTCCTCACTCAAATATGTACATTCCCACCTGTAATAATACAGGGTCTTATGTAATTTATTAAATTTCCTGGATTGCTATGAAATGCATTTCTTTCTTTTAGATTTCCCTTTGAAATCCCAATGACATAATTTTTACAATCTGGTCAAAAGCCTGGGATAAATTGCTTTACAAGTTATTTGGTTCCCTTTTTCACATGTAATGTTCAAATATTTATTCATTATTCAGGACTGAAACTTTCTAACTTCTGGTATGTTAATATAAGAATGCAGATTCAACTGCCTCCATTTTTAACTATTCCATTTATCCAGAAATGGGCAATCAAAGAGAATCAATATTTCTATCCCTCTATTGCCATTGTTTAGAAGCATTTAAGTTCCCTAGGCCTATTTCTAAAGCAATTAAAGCTTGCAGTTTCATAACAATTATGCTAACATTATTAATAAAAGTAAGCCCATTCAAAAAAGGAAACACTTAAAAATATACAGAAGAGAATAATTTGATCCAGATTGTGTGTCATGAATTATTACTGAATTGCTTCTATTCAAGAATCAAAATTTGCTGAAAATACATGGGCTATTACTGAACTCAAACAATATATGTGGAAACCAAGAATTCAAGGCTCTGCCATTATTTGCTCAATCAATGCAGTGTTAATATAGTAACTTCACTGAACAAAATAAGTTGCTCAAAAGAAATTATATGATAACCTACTAGAACCTGCATGACAAATAATGTAAAGTGTTAATGAATATATTAAAAGAGATCCTCTGTGGCTTATTTGAATTTCTTTCTGCTAGATTCCCTGACAGACTCAAGCCTCACACTCTCAAAATCAAACAGTATGGCACAGCAGAAGACCCCTTCATACTAAACCTGAGGAGAACTTCCACTAAACTCAGTAAAGTTTAGTTCTGAAAAGGTAAGCAGAGGGTTGTACTATGAGGAGGTTTTGAGACAGAAATAGTTGTATCATTAGGATCTTTGAGATAATTTCTTTACTAAGCCCTGTTCTATCAATTCACACATGGTTTCTCTTACAATGTTAGGAGAAAGGCTACAGATCCTTTCTTCTTAAGATTTTGGTGATGGATATGCAAAACATTTTGAATTCGAACCATTTTGAAACTGAAAGGTTCTGTTTTGATCCAGCAAAATACTGTGGACATAACATATTTAGATTTCAGCAAGGCATTTGACAAAGTAGACTACAACCTATTTCTTAGTAAGCTAGAAAAAAGTGGAATAGATAGCACCACCACTAGATGGACTCGCAACTGGCTGGCAAACCATACTCAACGAGTAGTCCTTAATAGGTCTAAGTCTACATGGAGGGAAGTAAGCAGTGGGGTGCCACCAGGTTCCGTCTTAGGCCCAGTACTCTTCAATATCTTCATTAACGACTTAGATGAGGGAATAGAAGGGGAACTTACCAAATTTGCAGATGATACTAAGCTGGCAGGAATAGCTAACACCCAAGAAGATAGGTTCAAGATCCAGATGGATCTTGACAGACTAGAACACTGGGCCATATCTAACAAAATTAAATTCAATGTAGAGAAAAGTAAAGTCCTACACTTAGGCAAGAAAAACCAAAAGTACACATATAGACTGGGTGAAACCAGGCTCAATAGCAGTAACTGTGAGAGGGATCTTGGAGTCTTAGTGGACAACTAGCTAAATATGAGCCAGCAGTGTGCAGTAGCAGCCAAAAAAGCTAATGCAATCCTAAATTGTATTAACAGAGGGATACAATCAAGATCAAGGGAAGTACTAATACCACTCTGTAAAGCCTTAGTAAGACCACACCTAGAGTACTGCATCCAGTTTTGGTTACCACATTATAAAAAAGATGTTGAGACTCTAGAAAAAGTACAGAGAAGAGCAACCAGGATGATTAGGGGGCTGGAGGCTAAAACATACAATGAATGGTTGCAGAAACTGGGCTTGGCTAGTCTAAGGACCAGGGGAGACATGATAGCAGTCTTCCAATATTTGAGGGGCTGCCACAGAGAGGAAGGGGTCAAGCTATTTTCTAAAGCGCCTGTAGGCCAGACAAGGAATAATGGATGGAAACTGAACAAGGAGAGATTTAACCTGGAAATAAGGAGAAACTTTCTCACAGTGAGAACAATCAACCAATGGAACAGCTTGCCCTCAGAAGTTGTGGGAGCGCCATCAGTTGAGACTTTCAAGAAGAGATTGGACTGCCATTTGTCAGAAATGATGTAGGGTCTCCTGCTTGGGTATGGGTTGGACTAGATGACCTACAAGGTGCCTTCCAACTGATTATCTGTTAAATCTGTTAAATCTGATTATGTTGAAAGCATTTTGAGTCCAAACCTGTGTTTCTTGTGTTTGAAACAGAACTGATTTCTGCTCAAAAGACCTCCAAAATTGTCACAGCAACCCACTTAACGAGGCAGCTGTTTTGTGGACAAAATGAAATACTTGGCGCTTAAAAGAAAGGATTTCAAATTTGATATGGTTTAAATTCAAAATGTTTTGCATTCAATGACCTCCCCTCTCCAGATGGTAACCAGCAAAAACAAAAGCAGAAAAACTTCATCAATTACTTTCTATTTTTACAAGGTATTCCATCACTAGAACATAACAATGATAAATATGCAAAACCAATCATATATTAAATCATAACAAACTAAATGATGAATTGGGATATGCATAATAGAGTTACACAAACTTCAAAATTGATTTGGAGAAATGCTTGGGATAAGCCTCTACTATTCATTAAAACAACCCAACATTTTTCACATTTTGGAGCAAGCTTGAAAAACTGCATTAGAAGGTGCAATGAATCAACTCCTTAAAGTAAGTTCATTTTTTTTTCAGGCTTGGTAGAAGCTTGGAAAATGTAGGTGACTTTAATGAATAGCACAGAGGTATTATGAGAAGCATTTCTCAAATCATTTCCAAACTATACACATGCCTAACAGGAAGGAAGGGAGGAAGGGAGGGAGGGAGGGAGGGAGGAAGGAATTAAATGCTGCAAAAAAACATGGTTTAACATAATGGGAATAAGCAAAAATAAGCTTATACCTTTCTCCTGATTTTCTCTTGTCTGAGAGAAGCCTCAAGAACAAGAATCTTCCTTTGTTTTGACTTCCAAATGATTATTATATTCAGAGCCTAAACTATGTCATTGTTTAAAATATGGTTTCATGAAGTAAGTCAATTTGACTTTATCCAAGTATCAAGAAGTAAACATCAACCTAAAATAAAAGGACCTATATAATGAGGTCTTAAGTACTAATTCATTCTCTCAAATGGGCATTTTTTTTCTAGAAAATGACAAAAAAAGTCAAAAATCATAAAAGTTATGTGACTGTGGAACACTGCAACCAGTCATAAATGTGAGCTGATTGTCAAGTGCTCAAACTGCAGTGATGTGATTGTAGAGGGGCAGTGTGATGTTTTATATGGCTGGAAATGCTTTACGGGCCATAAAGTACCTTTTCCAAGGTTGTCATAACTCCAAACAGTCATTAATGACTGGTTGTAAGTCGAAGAGTTCTGTAATCGCTTAAGTATGTTATATTTAAAACACTGTGTGCTTTAAGCAGCCTCCATTGAACAATTCACAGTGACTGAATTCCTGTGTATTGATAAGCGATATATCAAACAATCTTATGGTTTAAATTGATATGTAAAGCCACATTTTGCCAATTTAACAACAAAATGGAAGCAGAAATTTCCAGAAATTTTTCCATGTAAGTTAAGAGGTTAAATTTCCAGGTGATAGAAACTTTTTACCTTGCAGATATTTTAGCCTGCAATTTCAAAATCTCTAATTATTGGAGGTGCTAATTTCCATTATGAAATTTATAATCCCAAACATTAGGAGAGCACTAAGAACTCCCCACATTAACTAAGGATCACTCATCTCTCAGCTAATTTCTCTCATCAACCTACATAGTACAAATATGATCAAAGAAGCACTCATGTACACAAATGCAGACAGATATTACCTTCAAAGACGGCCTTATTGGATAAACCTAAGGCTGGTACGGTAGCCCCTTCTGGAAGATCCACCATTTGCTAAGAAAAAGAAAATATTATTCATGATTGTCTGAATCTTTTTGTTTATAGATATAGCCTTCTTGCAAGTTTGGCCTTCAATGTAACTTTCTGTAAGTCACAAATTTAAAATGCAGTATATATGATACTAAGGAATTCCTAGAAAATCTCAAATTAATTTAAAATCTTTGCTTTGATTTTAATTTTCTAGGCCATAGAGAAGTACTATTGAGTTCATACATCATGCTAACTGTTCAACCACATTCAATGAATAAAGCACAATTATCTGTACCCTATATTACTAATATTTATTATTAGTAATAAAACCATGGTTGTAAGTCACAAATACAAAACATCTTCAGAAGTAACAATTATACCATATAGCACAAATTACAAGCATTTTCTAAGAATGTTGATTTGATTGTAACTAAACAGATGTTCAAATTTAAAATTATATTCACGTCTCCACAAAAAACAAGTTTAATACTACGTACTACCTCAAACTCAATCTTCAGCACCACTAGGGTTCAACAAACCATAGTTCACAGATCAATGCAATCCCCTAGCCTACAAAATAAACCACATCAAGAAACTGACTCCACAGGAAGACTAGAACTAGGGTATACTTCTAGAGCATAGAGCTGTGATGGCGAACCTATGGCAGGCATGCCACAGGTGGCACACAGAGCCATTTGTGCTAGCACGTGAGTCAGAGGCAAACTTACCTCACTGCGCATGCACACGCCTCACAGCTGATTATTCGGCCTCGCAGAGACTTGAAAAAAGTCTCTGCAGGCTTTGCAGGCCAAATAATAGGCCTGTTTCATCATTTCCTGTTATACCAGAAGTGACAAAACGGCCTATTATTTGTCCTGCAAAGCCTGCAGAGGCTTTTTCCAAGTCTCTGCGAGGCTTAAAAAAGGCCTCAAACTGGCTGAAAATCAGCTGTGAGGCACAGTGCAGGTAAGGGGGAAGCAGGGGAGATTGCGCACGCATGCACAGGAGGCATGGGGGGGCGTGCATTGCCTTCTGGGTGCTGGCACGCGAGCGCGCACAATTTTTGGCACAGAAGCCCAGAAAGGTTAGCCACCACTGGCATAGAATAAGACTAGAATATAATTCTAGTCCTTCTTGTGTAGTTAGTTTCTTCACCAGGTCTATTTCACAGGACTGTCAATGCCATTAATGTTTTCCATGCCATTTTTTGTCTCTTCTGTTAAAAGTAGAAGTGGGAAAAAGAGTTAAAGGGAGGGCTGTCAAACTCGCATTGTCATGTTATCGTCACGTGATGTATCACGACTTTTTCCCCTCTGCTAAAGGGCTGCAAGTTTGATACCTCTGGTCAAAGACTTCTAGGGATTACTTCTTTGCTTCCTTATCTTTAAACTCTATCTGCAATTCCCCCCCAAATTACCTAAAACTATTTTTCAGCCTGATTTTGTTCCATTTTTGTCATTCTGTAAAATTTTAGTGGTAGCAATGAGAACAGGGAGGTTTTTGGAAGCAAGTTATTGATGTGTCCATTTTTACAAATAGACAGTAATCCTCCAATCAGACCTGAATTGTTCACCAAACAGGTTGCCATAGGCTAAAAAAAATGGGGATGGGTGTGGATTGACTCATAGAGGCACCCTGCTCCTGTACTGCCCTTGCCGTTTCCCAAAAAATGCAACCTGGAAATTGTTAATTCTGTCCTCTCCAATGATACTATAGCATTCTCAAATGGTCTACAGAAGGTCAGGAAGTTTCTTTATAGCCCCTGACCATTCAAACCTCAATCTGCCCATGAAGCAAAGAAGATATGAGTTTATTCAACATTTCTGTAATATGTTTAACATTGTGCTCAAATTCAAATGAGAGATGCAAACATAAAAAGTAGTAAAACAGTATTTTTAGTTCTTTTAAAGCAACTGAATACATAACTTACACCAGAATATAATTTCTCCAGAGACATTCCAGAAATACTGCTGAAGTTCTCAATGAAATTTCTAGGTGCAGTAAACACACGCAGCACTTTCTCATCTGCTCCAGATACGAACTGAAACCGTGCTGTCAGTGCTATACACTGCATGTCATACCCATGGACTTGGGGTCTTGCTATTTCATGCCACGTCACCTAGTAAAAGGACCATTGCATTGATACATGTACCAATCTTAGAATCTATAGAAGCATTTAACATGTTAAGTTCTATCAATCTATTGTCAATTTTAGAATTACAGTTTGCTGAAAATATACATTCAGTTCATTTCCCACAAAAATGCATTCTCACCTCTGCTCAGATCTCATTGGAAATGCCAGGAATCTTCTTTCATTAATAAATAATTGACAAAATAGCGTTGATCTGTCCAATCCTTGACAGAAAGGGACCAAAATCCTGTCCTGGTTCAAAATACAATTTTGCCCCCCAGTTTGGCCTCCCCCTGAATTTTATTTTAACAATATTTATTCCTCACTGGAAACAGAAGATGAGCAACATGATGTTGCATGTATAATGATATAGTTAAATATAATTATAGATCTTTAAAGGACTAATATTAATATAAACTTCTAAATGTTTATAGTCATGTGATATTGTAATAAACCCATAGTAACTTGACTATTAAACAATAAAAATATAATGTGCATACATTTTAGGAGAGTTTAAGAAACGTTAAGAAGAGCTATTGTTCAGATTACATATTCTGTTGGGGGAAAATTGTTTTAAAACTTGGTTGTAAAAATCCTAACAACTTGCATATATCTGTTTGCTACCATTCCGTGGTCAGCCAGAGTTTTGCAGTTCAGATATGCTGGCTCTAATCTATCCACAAAAGTTGTGCCCAAAACAAGAACATTGTGGCTAATAAATCTGGAATAATATGTTGGTTGTTCTGGGTTTTGGCACAGCCCAATTCGATAGGATTCTTATGGGACAAGTAGGGCAAGTTTAGAGTACCTCTCCCATCTTCCTCTGCAGGGTCCATGAACCAGTTTGGCCACCAATCTTCCTAGTGTTTTCTTTTTCTTGAATTCAAGTCTAACATATCTAACCAGTCCACCTACCCCTTCTCTTATATCAATCTTAGCTATAAATCTGAGCAGAACTGGAAAAGGAAGGTCCTGCAATGATCAGAGGAGCAAATTTGATACATTGCATTTGAATAGTGGACTAGTCATAACACTTCATATTATGGTGACAGTAGAACAGCCAACTGCCCTCTGTCCCCTTCCCTTCCCCAATTTTCCCAAGGTCTATCTATCCTTATCTTTGCCTTTTTCCCATTCTACCTGAAAACCCAAGTTTTAGGTCAAACATTCAGATCAAACCTGCACGTTGTTGGTCTTAATAGGCAGACCAGAGCAGAAAATCAGTTCACAGTCAGAGTAGAACTACCTCAACTTACAACCACAATTGAGCCCAAAATATCTGTTCTACTTTGCCCTATTTTATTACCTTTCTTCTCACAGTTGTCAGTACCATTGTAACTTTGAGAAGTCCTGTACATTGAGATAGGCTATAAAAACAGAATCCTGGAAGTCGTATTATACTATCTTTCCATTCCTTCCTCCAATGAACCAGGGAGCAGTTTACCTGAGCTGCTTCTGATTATTATCTTGCTTCCTAAAGCTTAAAGAACATTTTAGTCCTCTTTGTCTAGGAACAGTAATTATTCTTACCTATTTTGTGAAGGTCACCTCCCTTACTCTCTCCACACATTGACTCCATGCCCAGAATAAATACTCATTTTTCTGTCTGGAAACTAACTATTCCATCCACATAATTTCACAAGCTAGAAAAACATACCTCTGGGTTGTTCTCTCTTTTCCAAGGAGCAAATATTCTTGTGGTTTGGTCAGAACCAACAGAAATTATAAAGCCTCCCTCTGAATCCCACTTCACATCTTGGACACAATTAAAATGTCCTGAAATCATCACTTCTGGAGTCCATTCACTCTAAATCAAAAACATTTATATTTTAATCCATGAATGAGGTTGGAAAGTTGGATATAGTAATCCTCTTCACTAAGAACTATATCTAAAGTTGAAAATCAATTTAAGCTTTACAAAGAACATTTAAGTGTCATTCTTGGATGATAAAAGATTCTGGTTATTTTTTAACGTTTACAACAAAGGAAACAGACACTTTTAAGTTGTCTGCCTTTGAAAGCTCAGCCCAAATCTTCCAGTGACCATATGTAGCCTTAGTACTTTCAGCTATAGAATCCTAAACAATAATTTGGAAACAGGGAGTATCCAATGGTACAATATTCAAGAGGAACATGATGAATCCAGATCAGAATGCTGTAATCAATACAAAAGTCTCTGTCACAGACCTGGGAAAGTTCTGCTATAAGAAGAGATCATCCTGGGCCAAATAAATAAAAGCTGATGGACCCAAAAGTCATTTCGTATTGCCATTTGTTTTCCCCACAAAGGCCAAGAAGTCTGTCCAAATTAACCAAACTTATTCAATTGAATGTGTTTGATATTCATTACAGTTCAGATGGGGGGGACCCCTCCTCAATGTACCTCAATTTATAAAAGATGTTTAAAAGTATACAATGTGGTTATATGGAGTGAGCAAAGAGCCATTTCTTCCTATATAAAGATATTCCATATATACTTTGGTGATAAGAAATCAATTATCTCTTGCCTTGTTTGAAGAAGTCTGTTTCCAAAGATGAAGGGCTCCATGGAAAGCATGAGCAAGAATCATTGATCCATCTGGGCTGAACTGACAATCAAAAAATCCGAGCGTATTTCCTCCCACTTCTCCTATTCGGACCTTTTGAAAAAGTTTACAATATGTATGAATGCGCCTTCCCCCTGCTAATTAAGGACTATGAGCAAAAGACAAATGGTCTAGAATTACATTAAAAGTGAAGTTAAAACAATGTCATTCTAGATGTATTCAAATACCATGCACAACTTTAAAAAAAACATTAACACAAGTCTTTTTGAAAACAGGTTTGCAAGATAGTTTGCAAGTTTATATAAAATGAATAATTATTTTGATAGAAATATATTTCCCTGGGGGCTGGGATTAAATGCTACAATATGAAAAGTAATATAATGTCTAGAAATTATTTCACACATTTTTGTATGAAAGCAGTTATTTTTAAATGCTTGGTTAACTTGCCAAACCCAAAGGGAACAGCAATGTAAAATGTGCCTAATCAACCAAAGCTGATTTCCTGCAGAATAGTTGTCAAATCCTAAGCCCATTCCACCCTTCCCCTATCCAGTATAGATTGCTTCCATGTTTAAACCATGCCAGATTTCCTTGAGACGATGGCTGACTAAACTAGTTTCAACAAAAGTTCCAATATCCACTTAAAAGGTAACTTAATTTATTCTTGGGTACATGCAGCTCAAGACTCTTAATGCCACACAGGGAAATCACTTTAGAAAGGAAGCAAATGAAGTCTGGGCATTTAGCGCTATATTTCTTTTACTTTGATGATACAAACAGGGGAAATGAAAAACCACATCTACCTGTTCCAACCACACTCCAGATTCATCATCTGGAGACCAAAGGATCACCGTTTTGTCCATTGAAGCAGATAGTAACCTCATTGGCTGTACCATCCTGCCATCTACAGTATCAGGAAAAAATAACCCCATGTTTTCATTCATTTTTGTTAAATACATCTGAAGAAAAACTTAAATAGGAAGTCTACAAGAATGCCACACAAAACAACTATACATGGCTGAAGTTGGAAAGAAGGTCGCAATTTACAATGTCCTCAAAGATGTGCATGGACTAATATCTTGTAAATTGAATCCTGGATACTGTGACTCTCGGCAGTGCCTATTTTACATTTATGGATTTAATCAAACTGCACAAAATTTAACCTTGATCCTAAGAGAAGAAAGCAGTCTTGCCCAAAATAATTCTCTTCCCTGTAATTATAAGCTAACAGATGCATACTAAATGACTGATACAACATTTGGGGCACAACATAAACTTCTACATAGGATGAAAAAAAGCCATAATTTGTTGTATCACACATTTTAAACTTTCTATGTTTGAGGTAGAAGGAGTAGCTCAACATGGAGTTCTCCATTTTGACAATAAATTCCACATTCCTTGTCATCTCTACCAGTAACTCAAATTGGAAACTACATACTCTTCTTACCTTTGAAATATGGTGGCTGCCAATGAACTCCATATACCCAGTTTTCATGGCCAGCTAGCACTGAATCCAAGGTAACTGCAAAGGATTTATCTGCACCTATCACAAAACAAAACAAGTGGAAAAGAGTGGGAAAAAAATTTTCTAGCCTGTCTTTAAAACAATCGACTTAACTTGTTTGTATTTGAAACTAGATGTACCAAGTAATAGCTTACTGCCAGAGAGTTCCCACATTGCATGTTGAAAGAAAAGTCTGTTACATGTGTTGAAATCAATCAGAATGGAAAACAAATGTCAAAGAGTAAATTAATTGTCAAGATTTATCTAGCCATTGTATAAATGACTCAGCCCTGCAAATAACCCAATGACAAAATTTATGATCCTCTGTCTGTGAATTCATCTGCCAAAAAAAGATATGAAGAGGGCAGAAGACTTCTGTATATCCAAGGTTCTGGATGCAAATACACGTTTCACACATAGATAAAATGTAACATACAGCTGACATGGAAAGGAAAAACTACATTCTTTCACTATATTCAGTTGGATGTAATATTTTCTATTTGATTTATGGAATATATTATTGTAAAGAATGTGGGTGTATATTAATGTAAAGAATACAGCACAGACAAAATTAAATTCATGTGCAAGAACAGATATCTATATCATGGGGGCATCAATCAAATTAATTGAAAAAAAACAAAGTGAAGCTTGTGTTTCAGCTAATTAATAGCACATTCTTCCACAATGTATTAGAAGAAAGGCATCTTATATTTTATTTAACCATGCTGAAAACATTTTTATTTGAAAAAAATCCAATATAAAAGAACATATTTACCATTGCTATTTTTTATGGTGAAAACATTCTCTTTCAACCTAATAGTGTCCTCATCTTGGATTTCCCCAAACAATGAAGTTGCATGCATCTTCCAGATTCTTATCAGACAATCTTGAGCACAGCTTGCCAAATACAGATCTCCATCTTTAAAAAAAAAGTTAAACCAGTCATTAAAGAAAGAATTTAAAAGGGAAATTCAGTGCACGACAGAAATCAATATTTACAATGGTTTCTTAATAAACAAAACCAGAACCTTACTTTTTGCAATGGTTCATTTCTCTAAATTACATTATGAGCCTGATTGGGGGGGAGCGGGGGGGAAAGGCTCATATCTGATGAATGGAGAATATATATATCATCCTGATTGGTTGGGAGTCTTGGTCTGTATTTATTGGTCTTAGAGTTTGCTGTGTTTTGCTTGATTGATATTTCTAATAACTTCTGTCTGTTTTGTAGCTTTTTTTGGATGAAGGATGAAGAATTCAGGATGAAGAAAAAACCATTCTGGCACAGCAGTAGGCTAGCACCAAATTTAAAACAGAAACGGCTGTGAAAGTCTGACTCACAGACGAACACAATACAGAAGCCTGATGATGGCAGATGAGATTCTGCCAAAATGTTGCTACAACTTTAAAAGCGCAACTATAATGATGTGGGAAAATACCCGAACAAAGCTGAATACCATACATGTAAGTACCCACGAAAACTTAACATACATACATACATACATACGTATATATATATATATATATATATATATATATATATATATATATATATATATATCAATATATATCATAACACTATAATTGTAATAATTATATAATAACTATATTTGTAATAATTGTGTTCTGAAGTTCCATATAGTAGCAGAAAAAATATGGAAACATGTATGGAATTCAATTTCTCATCAGCATTATTTTAAAATATTTAAGTGCCCAGCTTCTATGACAGCAAAACATAAGAAATCCCCCCCTGAAGTCTCATAAGCCAGACTGAATGACATTTACCACAAAATGCCCATTCAACTCCTCTTATCCAGTCCTCATGTCCATGTAGTAGTAAAGATTTCTGAAACTGAAACAAACAAATAAGCACCCTCAATATGCAGCATAAACTTATATTGCAATTTTCCATTGTGCAGTTTGGCAGTTCACTAACATTCAATTTTGGTACTTTTTGCAGCTTTCCTGGTTTATGACCATAGATTACTCTATCATAGTAAATTCGTTACTGTAACACTGAAGATTCTTCAATCTCAGAGTCTCTCAAACGTGTTGGAAGTACAACTCCAGGACTTTCATTCCTCAAAGGGCTTGGAACTCAAAGCATTCTGATATACCAGTGTTGGCAAACCTTTTTGGCACCCAAGTGCTGAAATGGGAGCATGCATGCGTGAGGTGGGGAGTGCCAGAAAGCAGAAGAGCAGCTCTCCGGCATGCATACACGTGCTGAGAAACTAAGCTTCCAGTTTCTGGCACATGCCTGCACGCTGGCCAGCTGGTCTTTGCACACACCTGCACACCAAAAACCGGAAGACCAGGTGGCTGGCGGGAGGCGCATACGCATGTACAGAACAGCTGAGCCGGGCGACGGCATGCATGTCCACAAAGAGGGCTCTGTGTGCCACCTGTAGCACATAGGTTCACCACCACAGATATAGGGTGTCAAGCTGGGAGACAGTTTGTTTTGTACAACCTTGCTTCAGAAAGGTTGCTGGAATCCTGTGATACTCACTTCTATCCTATGCGGTAAAGTTTCCTGTGATTGCCCATACACATCCAAGCTCAATTCAAAATGAAAGTAGTATTTTAAAATGCTAAAGAACAGAAATCAGGTAAAGGAAGGAGCATACTGGCACCTTTGACTTCTGCCACATTTGAAAGCAAATTCGGATGCCCAAACCTCCCAAAGAATTTTCTGAGGTCACAGGGGAATTTTGCAACGACCTCACAGACAGCTTTACTCTGCGCTTTGCCTACAAAGTGGACATGACTGGTTGTTTCTATGTGGGGTGCCAAGGGCTCAATTCCCTTTTGAATGCAATTTAATATTTACATTAAATTGCTCCAGGAGGGCACATATTATTTGAGGTACAGTACTATATAATCAATGTACTGATGACACCATGCTGAACACACAGCCACTCTGGGCTCTACCAGGCATGCTATCGAAGTCCGGAACCTGTACATGGAAGTATTTTAAGCACCAAAATTGTCCAATTGCCTCAGACCAATCTTTGGCTGAAGTAGAGGACTAGAAATAAAATGGGTTTCATTACATCTAACAAGGCCTTTAGACCCACTTCTTTCCTTTCTCCAGCTTTTCCTCTGGAGAAGGACAAATTAACTATTTAGCGCTGAAATCCTAATAGATTAACCTGACATCAATAAATGAGCTTGCTTTGAAACAACTTTCTCTGAACATGGCTAATCGTTTATCACCTTCAATCAGCTGAAGACAATTACCCTCCAGAAATATTGTCTCTAAATTAGGGATTTTAAACTTTCCTGAACTTGAGATTCAGGAGTTAAACAGTGTAAATCTTGGAAACTTAAAAGTTAAGAAACGAAACGGCAGAAGATAAATCCTATAGACTAAGAAGAAGAAACAATAGTTACCTCTCCAGCCTGTTGCACATATAAGTGGATTCTGCTGTCATCACCACCACAAGCCAGCACTGGTACTGAAATTAAAATCATTGAAAAGTTGCTGTTTCAACTAAATATAATGGAGCAAAAGAAAATAGAAACAAAATACAGCATTTACAGAAGAGGAAATGATAGCCACAGTTTCCTAGGAGTAAATCCTGTTTCATACTTTGTGGGATTTACTTCTGAGAACATATGCATAAGCTTACAGTTCAAGGCAATGACTGTATATCTACTAGGGCTAGGCAGCATTTTGGATTCAATTCCAAAAAGGAGCATTTACAGGTAGGATCTCTTTCTTTAAAGCATCTATATCTTTCCTCTGAACTGTGTGGCAGCTGTAAAGGACAATGCTTGGAAAAGAAAAGGCTACTTTAAAGAACTTCAGCCAGATACAAGTTTCAAGTTCCTGCATGTTCTAAGTGATTCTTAGGAACTAAATCCACCACACAGACCCATATGTCTGGAAGTATCTGCCACCAAACTCAATGGGAACTTCAAGTTACAATCGTTCAGATATGGGACGCTGAAATGTCCACGTTCTACTCCACCATCAGGCAGAAAAGCTCACTGAGGGACTCTGGGCCCATCATTCTCTCTCATTCTCTTTCCTATTACACACCACTAATAGAAATAATAACAATGCAATAATAACGGGAACATACTGCCTGCTGCTTTGAGCTCTCGCCAGGCAAGATGTAAATCCAACAAACAAGTTAAAATTACATTGTTATTAAACAGATTCAGGGAACTCACTCTTTAAAAAATAAAAGTCAAATCACACGAAAGGCATAATAAACTTAACAAACTAAAAATCTAATTCTTAGGAATTTTCCCCAAGCAACAACAATCAAAATATCTTGCTCTAAAGATATTTAACAATCACTTTTTAGTGTGACTTTAACAGGTCACACTAAAAGGAGACGATAGGCTACTTATCCAGTAAATCAGAATATGTGACGATCGATAATTTCTCAGTTAGCAATTTTTAGGATCAGATAGTAGAAAACTAGTTCTTAATAAGACAACATGTACATGCGCTGGCACCACTAGGCATTTCTTGAAATGATTTTAAAAAATTACACAGCCATTCTTACTGTCACTGCCTGGCAAGAAGGACAATGAAACATCCATAATAAATCCATTTCCAAACATCAGTGTCTGAAGGCACTTAACTAAGGGGAGAGAGAAAATAAAGTTGCATTATTTGCAGTGAACACTTAAGATATTTAATAAAAATATAGAAATTGTATACTAATTATTAAATTTCAAAGGCAAAAATGTGCTTCAAAGCATGAAGGCAACACCCTGCCTCCAACTCCTTAAAGCAGTTCAGATTTTCCCCATGGTTGCACAGCTGCCACACGATCCCTCGAAAATTTGCAGGCAGATCCTACATGAGTATCTTCCTGTTCTTTGAAGTGCCTTTGAATTCAAAGTACTGTATTGCTCAGCTTTGCTAACTGTAATCATAAAGAAATTTAAATGTTACCCAAGATTAATGCAAACAGTGATATAACCCAGAGACAATCAACAACAGAGAAGTTGGTTTTAGTCAAAAAATATGACAAAGAGAAGTCAGAAGGCATCATAAGGATTTATGACAGTAATGGTCATAATCCTTACTATAAATATCACACTACAAGTATATTTATTTATTATACTGTTATATTTCATTACTTATCTAAAGCAACTGATGTTTAAGAGATGCAATGCTCTTGAACAGCAACTGGACTATTTTCAGCAATTGCTAACTTATTTTCTACAGATGCCTGCAACTGTCATACACAGTGATTTAGCCATTTTATAATGACAAAGATTAAAAATGTATCACTTTTTTTATTCATCTATAACAAACAGCTTTCTAGACAATAAGATCTGAAACTGGTTCATAATGAATGTGTATGAACTTGACTTGTTTATTCTTTGTACAATAATTGAGCTGTAGTTCCATGGCAGCAACAAAAAAAAGAATAAAACAAGCATGGAATGTATTTCAGCAACTCTGAAATATGGTCAAAATATGAAATATGATGCACCACTAGCATCTGTTCTAATCCAGCTGCTACAACCAGTAAAATGAAGATTATTGCAAAAATAGGAAAGATCTCTGCCAGACATGGTCTACATTTTTGCAAGGAGCACAAATTAAAAATGCTAACCTCTTATATTCATGCATCTTTAACTGGTTGGAGATGGGGCTTGTCAGCTAAGCAATGCAGGGAGACTTATTGGGAGAAGGGGAGTTATTTCACCTTTACTTGTCTCCAACATCATAATTAATTGCCAGCTGCTATCTTGCTTCAAGTCCACATGAAGTCAAATAAGTTGATTGGAAGCCTTTGGGCTAGAGCAGAGTTCCCCAACCTTTTCAGCTTTGGGGACCAGCAGGGAGAGGGGATGGTTCTGCACAAACAACAGGCAAGCATGCATGCGCGCAGCTGCATTTGCACAAGCGGTGAACACATGCACCTGCCACTTGCACAAATGGAGCACGCACACAAACCCGGCTGCTGTTCATGCAAGTGGGGATGCAAGCAAATTTGCCTGTCACTTAGGCGGTCTGGTTCCGAACAGTTCAAGGCCCAGAGGTGGGCCACAGCCCAGGGGTTGGTGACCCTTGGGCTATAACCTTCTCTTAGCCTAATAAGGTTAGTGCAGTGGAGACACATTGGGCAGGGTAAGGTGGAATACACTCCCCTGGTGTACAAAAAGTGAAACAATCTAGAACAGGGATCTCCAACCTTGGCAACTTTAAGACTTATGGACTTCAACTCCTGGCTGAGGGAAGTCCACAAGTCTTAAAGTTGCCAAGAATGGAGACCCCTGATCTAGTAGAATATGGAGGACTTTACTTAAGGTATTCTTTAATACAAGGTATCTTGACAGACCAAAAGGAAAAGAACTTTTACCTTCTGTTCCTTGTCTGGACCAAATTTTGACAGTAGAGTCTGAAGCTGCAGAAGCTATTAGTAGGCTTAATCCTAATGCATTTTCAATTGTCATGTAAACAGCATCTAATGCACAAATTGCTTCAGTGTGACCTTCGAGGTGGACATCATTCACAAGCTAAACAGAAAATTATAACATTACAAAGAAGGGTAACCCTGAAATTCAAACAACACTGTCATGTGACTGTACAATTTTCAACTTTGTGTTAGCCATGGAAATAACTGGAATGTGACGTTTGAGCAGAAAGAGTAAGTAGATGTGTAACTGGGTGCTCAATTTTTGCATTCAATTAGAAATCATGTACTCTACAGAGCTTTTATTTGTTTCAATATCGTTCTGCAGCTATTCTAGAAGTTTTGATAGAATATTAAATGAATTAAAAGGTTCAGGTAAATTGAACTAAAACGTATTTGAGAAAAAGTTTTAATGCAAGGAGAAAAGTAGCACTGATTTCCAGAATACAATAATCCCATATTAACTGTTGGCTGTCATTTAATGTATCTTCAAACAGCTTCCAAGGTGCCATTATATAAAAAAACCTAAATACTTATCATCAGTGAATGATGCAGATTGTGTCAGGACTCCGACATGCACCCCCATTCAAACCATAAGTCTCTAGCTGCATCTCTCAGAGTGAAAAAGATTGATTTATTAGGAGTTGACATGTCTCATTTCACCCTTGACCCTGGTCTTCCCCCCACCCCCTGGACCTATATTCACCAGTGAGATATGTCCACAGCCAAGAGTCATCAATCATGCTCTCCAAAAGAAAAATACTTCTTTTTAGTTGTCAGATGGGTTTTTTTAGGTGAGTGGTGTACGTAAAAATATTTTGCAATTGCATAATAATTTTCCAAACGCATGTTAACCAATCATATCATTATTATATTATCTAACAATCATTAGAGTTGTGGGAAATCATAAACATGGAAGAAAGCGGAAAATATTAAAACATTATCATGGAATATTTTCCATATGTATGTAAGAGCCATGTACGTACTAACACCTAACCTTCATTCTCTAAAATAGTTTCTAAAAACAATGTATGGAGGAAGTTTATAAAGTAAGACTATACACAATTTAGATCCTTATAGTAACTATATACAGCGGACAACTCTTAATTCAAAGATAAGAAAGTTTCTTCCTTCAGGGAGCACTGATATTCATTTTCCAAAAGAAAAAATTGGACTTTCTTCCTTTTGGATTCATTTTCTCTCCTTGATTTAGAGACTGCTGGTGTTGTTTCTGTCCTTTACTGGGCCTCAAAGTACTGTATTAACAGACATTGGTGGAAGCACTCTGATATTTATTTAATTCTTTCCCACTCCTATGGGTGATATGTGTCTTCCTCAATCTCGAGTCCTCTACCTGAGGTCTGGGAGTTTAATTATTCTGTGCAGTATCTTAGCTTTTTCTTAGCACTCTCCTGGACAGAGCTCTGTTGTTGTTCTTGGGACCTGTTGGAGCCACTTCCCTCACTTAGGAGTCACAGCCCTGAGTGCTTTCCTACCACCTCTGGGACCAATTTGGTCTTTACACTTTACATCCTCTCTAGTTCCTCCTTCAGGCCCTGGTACTGCTTTAGCTTCTCATACTCCTTCTTCCCGATATTCCTGACACTGGGCACCACTACTTTTATCACCACCACTGTGTTCTGCTCCTTGTCTTCCACCATAATGTCTGGTTGATTGGCCAGTACCTGCCTCTCTGTCTGAATCTAAAAGTCCCATGGGATCTTACCCCTGTTATTGTCCACAACCTTCTGTAAAAGTTCACATCTAGTCTTGAGATGGTATAGCCCAGTGGTGTAAAACTCGATTTCATTGAGGGCCGCATCAAGGTTGTGTTTGACCTTGGGGAGGGCAGGGGATATGGCCAGGAGGGACATAGCTGGGAGGGGCGTGGCCAGGGTGGTTGTGGCCAGCTCAACGTCTCTCACTGAGGCTCTGTTTTCAGCCACGATGGCCTCCTGCAGCCCTCCGCCAACAAAAACAGAGCCCAGGAAGACTGGCGTGGCCCACCCAGGCTCAATTTTCGGCCACAACGGCCTTCCCAAGCTCCATTTTTTCTGGCAGAGGGCTGCAGGAGGCTGTCGTGGCTGAAAATGGAGCCTGAGAGGGCCACGTGTGGCCCTCCCAAGCTCTGTTTTCCCTGGAAGAGTCACCAGAGGCTGGTCCTTCTAGGGAAGCCCCATGGACCAGATCTAAGCACCTCGTGGGCTGGATCTGGCCCATGGGCCTTGAGTTTGACACCTCTAGCCCATATATTGTGCAGAAGGTTCTGTACCCAATTTTGTCTGTGCCATTCAGTCTATGCTGTTTCTGTCTGCATCTTATACCATCATTATGTTTGGACTGTCTCTGAGGCCCTGCACAGTCTGCAACTCGGGTCCTGTCTAATGTGGTAGACCTCTGCTTCTATGGATCTAATGCTTAGTGTCTATTCTTATGCTTTAATCCAGCCTTTTCAAGCCACCGATAGGATTGTCAGCTACTTCAGCTATCTATCCATCAATCATACATCGTAAGCATGTCTTGTTTTGCCATGACACTACCTCTGCTTGATCATCCTTTCATGTCTGCTGCTGTTTCAGGCATTCACTCAGCAGCTCATCTTTGGGTGTCACTCCAGACAAATTGGCCATCAACAAGCACATAGACATGAATGGCATCTACATTTCATTCAAAAGAGATAATCAAAAAGCCAAAAAGGAAACAAAAAGACCAAAACACCTCATCAGTAATCTACACCAATATGAGCAAAGATTAACAAGATTAATATCTGACCAACAATCAAGAAACAACCAAGGATCTTCCAAACAAAATAACAATAAATCACAGCCCAAATGAAAGAACCAAGACCACTCCCACCAACACTGACAGGCAAGCCTAGAATATAAAGTGAGAACAAATCCCACTCCCTACTAGCACTGACAACTTACCTAGTTTAGTAATAAAACATCTGCAAGAAAGCAGCCAAGCTCAAAGTATACCAAGGGCCTCACAGATCAAACCATAACTACAAAAGGTCTCTTCTATCAGCATAATAAACTGTTATGTCTCACCTGTACCAACAAGGTGAGAAGTCCAAATTTCCAACTGAATACAAACAAGCAAGCAAGTCCAGTAATTACAGGGTTAAATTCCTTGAGCTGATAAAGTTCTTGGCAGTCTCACACAAGCTGTCTGCCAAGTCCGACAAGAAAGCGGGAATATAAATCACAAGCTGTCACCGCACACAGGATACTCCGAAGCTTCTCTCACTAAGTAACACGTTGTCCCGAACAAGTTCCCAGAGCGAACACACCCACTTTTATTCCCTGTGGGGCGTGTCAGTCCCTCATCTCAGTCTCTGATTCGTCCTTTCTTTCTGCGTTGCAGCTCACACTTTTGCCTGCGCCGTTGCCTCGCATCAAGCCAGCATTCCTCAGCTTGATCCTCAGTCAGAGGCTCTGATACGCACCCCCTGGTTATCTGCCGACACCTGAGGCACAATCAGGGAGGAAGGTCTTGCCGAAGAGGAAAGTCCTGGGGAGGAAGGCAACTCCAAATCCTCTAACAAAGCAGGCTCAAACCTCAGAGCCAAATCCTCCTCTTCCTCATTGTCCAAGTCTTCGTCCTCTAACAAAGCAGGCTCAAACCTCAAAGCCAAATCCTCCTCTTCCTCATTGTCCAAGTCTTCGTCCTCTAACAGAGCAGGCTCAAACCTCCGAGCCACAACAATAAACTATGTCACATTTCATAATCCAAGACTAGTATTCCTGTTATTGTGGAAGAGATGAAGTTGTTCTCTTACACAGCACAGTTATATCTCACCTTGCTGCAATAGCAGCTGGCGGCATTTAAGGATGCCAAAAAAACCCAGTAGCTTAAAAACTCACTTTTTTTCCCTTTCCCAGTATTGTAGCAGGTTCCAAAGTAAATAAGGCTGCAGTATTAAGGATGATTACAGAGGATGATTCTTTTCAAATAATGAGAATATTTCTGTACTATAGCTTAGGCAACTATATTTTGAGATTTCATGTAAGCACAGCACATGGCCCTAATTACACAGTTCAGATATCAAAGAATCTCAAGCATCATTTTAGAAAAGTTTCTAATTCGTTGTACTGCAAACACAGGCTTTTAAGGAAATATTTAGATTTTTTTTCCTTTTACATTAAGGACAAATATTTGTCGTATTTGTCATAGCTCAGACTCTTATACCGGCAGTCCTCATTTTAGTGACTGCCTCATTTAGCAACTGTTCACAGTTACAACAGTGATGAAAAAATAACTTTAGATCCAATCCTCATATTTATGTCCTCTGCAGGCCCTTAAAGCAAAGGAATGCTTAAGTAAGGTCACAAGCATAGCTGCAGTTTTTACTTTGTGACTTTTCCGCTTAACAACCAAGTAGCCAGTCCCAATTGTGGAATTAAATGAGGACAATTTGTATAACTATATTTCATTTCATAGTGTTTCTCGTGATGAAATAAAGTTTGAACTTGGACGATAGCAATAGATCTTTTACTTTGTGTACACCATTTAACAGAACACAGTTGGAGCTGTATCTTTCATAACATCACAAAGGAGATAACATCAATAACTTTAAGAAATTATTAATTTAATAATTTAAGAAATTCTGGTTTAGTTTCTTCTCTTGCTCAACTTATTTTTTAAAAGTCATGTATACAAGGTTATGTCTTCACTTACCATAATATTTTTACATACCTTCTCATCTTGAATTTCCCAAAGAATAAGAGTTTTATCTGACCCGCCAGATATTAATTCCGTTTCATAAGCTATTATACAGAGGGATATAAAAAGATTGAACAATCCAGGTGAAAATTATTTTTCATCTACTACTCTGTGTCTAAGCTGCTCTTTTTAAGAATAAAATGTATTTGTATATAATGATAGAACAGAGTTAGTTTTCATCTTGTTTTTTCTTATCACTTCCAAAGGAAAAAAAATGGGGGTCTCGCACTCTAAAAATAATAAATCAACATTCTCCAGCTTTATTCTCTGCAGAAAATTAATTCTCAAAAGAGTTAACCAGTATATTTTATAGTCATGTTATCTGATAATTTTAAAATGATTCCAACACATCTGGAGTCTAACAGATTGAGAAAGGTAGAATAAATCCTGAACAGAATCTCATAAACTTACTAGAATAGAATTTATTCATTCTGCCTTTCACTAAACAGACGATGTCATTCCTTTATAAAAAAAATATATGTAGATGTTTACTACATACTTTTTCACAGTGCTTTGCTTAAAGTGCAGTGGTTACTCACTGCAGATTTCCATTTCATGAACTATGGCAACACAAAAGTTGCTGTTTTTCACAGCAACAACCCACCAAATGAAGTGAAAGAAGAGATGCCAAAGAACACATGAGAGCTTCTAGAGTAGCTGGCCTCAACCTTTCCAGTTCTGTGGACCAGCCAGTAGCAGCTATGTGGGAGGTGGCATGGAGGGGGAGGTTCTGCACAAGTGATAGGAGCATGTGCACGCATCTACTTAACTCCATTTGCCCAAGTGGTAGGCTTGCACACCTGCCATTTATGCAAATAGAGTTTCGCATACTCACCCGCTCATTGCTTGCGAGGGTTGTAGACCCCTATTTATACTGCCATCTGTTGGTGATTTATAACATTAGAGGCATTACTTTTCATTTTGTGTGTGTGTGTGTGTGTGTGTGTGTGATATGGATTATATTCTCAGCACATATTTTATTTATTATGTATTAGATTTATATACATTAAATCAAACCAATTTACATCTTTTCCTCATTTTCTATTCATAAGAATGCTATTGATAGGAAGAAATTCTTAGTTCTATTGGTCAACTCCTGGCATCCTGGCACCTCAAGAATCACAAAATACGTTCTGAATATTAAGTTGTTAAATGTAGCATTTTAACCCATTGTGATATAGGTCATGTGAATTGAGAGCTGCTATCTCCTCTGCAGGACTTCTTAATCTTTTTTACCTGACAAAATATTGAGAGCGTACTTGGGGAATTCTTGCAAAATTTCTGCTAGTCTTGTACATTTGTAAAATGGTTGCTGTGAACAATTTAACAAGTTACAAAGTACTATTTTACTGGGACATATAATCTACATTTCCTTTTTTTAATGTGTGTGTATGTATGTACGTACGTACGTATGTACGTACGTATTTATTTATTTATTTATTTACCCACCCAACTTTATTTTTATAAATAACTCAAGGCAATGAACATACTTAATACACCTTCCTTCTCCTATTTTTCCCATAGCAACAACTCTGCAAAATGAATTAGGCTAAGAGAGAATGACTAGTCCAAGTCACCCAGCCGGCTTTCATGCCTAAGGTGGGACTAGAACGCATGATCTCCGGTTTCCTGTCTAGTGCACTTTCTTGCCTTATGCATTAGACCAAACTGGTTAACTAGAGATTACTTTCTAATATCTGATCATTTTTCCATATTTCCAGGAAGATCTACACATTTCCATATGAAGTATTTGGGCTTCAATTAACTGAATGTTCAAAAGACCATTTGAGGTCAAGGAGCGCTAGTAGAAATAAAAATATCACTGGCAGCTTTTTTTCCAATATTTCATCACTCTTTTTTAATGAAAACAAATCATGTGGGCAGGAACCTTGGCAGGTCACAATGAAGATCCCAGTCTTCCTCAACATAAACAGAAGAATTACTAAATAGCTTGATTAAAAGCACTAAAACAGAAGTATGCAGTTGATGTTAAATTCTTCTAGAATCACACCAAATAATCAATCTGATTTATTAATGAAGCCAATGAACATAGTAGAGAAGTCACTTCACATATATAAAAGTATAGTTCCAACATCTAAATTTCTAAAAGGTTTCAAGCATTATTGGCTTAGAAAAATGTATACCCTTCAGAAATGCATATTGAATGTACAAATGTCCACCAGAGGGCACTCATACAACAATAAAATAACATTGATATTTATGGACCAAGGGAGTGGAAGGATATCAGTTAAAGCTGTTAATGTAAATTTTAGATAACTGATGAATAACTGTTTTGGAAAAAAATAAGCTTTGACCATTATTTCAGGGTGCATTCAAAGAGCATAATACAGCAGTCCATGGTCAAATTTAAGGCTTTCTTATTATTATAATCCAGACAGTACTTTGGAAAAACTTGCCGAACAGGAAAAAAAATCCTCACACTGTACCCAAAACTCTGCATATTTAAAATTGAGAGTTACATAAATTCCATAATATGTTGGATCAGGACATTGGGATAACCCAGGCTGTTGTTAATATTGAAATAATGCATTATGACCTTATTAATGCTATTTTATGATGTGTTTGTGTTTTTGTTTTGATTATGCACCACCAAGTTGGTGTTGTCTCAAATATCATATAGATTTTCTCTATGATCTGTCCTTGCCCTTGTCTTTCAGATCTTCAAGTTTATTACATGCTTTCTTCTATATTTAAATTGTATGTTAGCCACTCAGAATTACAATCTGTGAATTGAACACTCATAGAAATTGCAGGAATAAAATAACATGAAATAAATCTTCCTAGAATTTCCCACTGCTTTTCCCAAGCTTTGCCAAGATCTTCATCTTCATCAGCGTGCCTACTCTCTTCCAATTTCCATGTGCTCCTTTTCCATCCTTACCCAGTCTGTCACCTGCTACAAGGCTACAGCTCTTTCGATTCTTTTAAAAAAATATTGTTGATTTATGGGGCAAAATTCAGCACATTTTTCATTATACTCCTCTGGGACAAAATGAGTAAAAATGCCACATTTATTAGCAGAGGAGACTCTGACAGTCTCTGTATCATAGCTCCCTCTACTGATAAAGAAAAAGTATATTTTTTCTTTTTTATTATCACATATCCTGCCAAAATAATAAAATTAAATTTTAAAATGAAATAATAAAATACGGCCTCCCCCACTAGGAAGTCCCAGCATGTTTTATAGGCATAAAATGAAATTCAGCCCCTCCCCCCAAATTAAGGCCTATATTAAAACATGCGAAATGGGGGGGAATGGTTGGGGAGCTTGCCGTTAGGAAGTACTTTTGTTGCACACCCGGATATGGTGCTGCCTGCGTTGACCTCGGCGTTGGTGGGGCACTTCGTATCGGGAGACCTTCTGCCACCATTGCTTTCCCTTCTCCCCGTACTGCCAAGTGTCTCCGCCGGGTTCCGGTTGCAGGGTGTCTCCGCCGGGCTCCGGTTGCACCAAATGCCACGTAGCTGTGCCAAACGCCGCGGCGTTGCTCCAAACGCCGCAGCAGCATGGGGAGAAGAGAAAGCAATGGTGGCGGAAGGTCTCCCAATACGAAGTGCCCCACCAACACTGAGGTCAACATCCAAGCCGTCGCCGCCTGCCCGCCCAAGGATGCAAGGGGGGGAATTATGTCACCCCCAAAAAGAAGGCATAGCAGTTTTTTCGAGGCTCAAAAAAAAATAAGACCCAGTACACACACACACACACACACACACACACACACACACACACACACACACGTTTTCTGAGGTTCTCGCGGGTATTTGTATGTGGATCTTTGGTTATTC